TCAGTACAAAGGGGCCCCGGTGTTACCCATTGCTGCTGCAGAGTGCAGAGCAGGGCTGTGCTCCCCGGGCTGGTGCTGCTGCTCTGTGTCAGTCAGAGCTGGGCTGTGGGAAGCTGAAGAATGTGCCCCTGGCTGCTCAGAGGCCGTTGTGCTGCAGGATGCTGCATCTGCAGGCAGCGAGCGCTGACACGCAGCCCTGTGAAGGAGCCTGCCCTGGAGCCCCTGGAATGCCGGAGCTCCTCTGGGCCCACGAGCTGTGGGCTGGGGAGATAGCACAGGAATGTGCACTGCAGAGCTTGATCTCTTCAGTGCAGCTTGAACTGGTAAATGGGGCTCAGCCTAAGGACTTGTCCTGCTCTTCTACCTTGCTGCTTTGGTGGTAGAAGGGATGTTTTGTGAGTGGTTCAGTGCATTGGACATCAGTGTGAGAGTTCTTGTCCTGAGCTGTTGAAATGACCAGCAGAGCTTTGTTTTTGCTGGGAATTACCTTGAAGCAAAGCAGTTGGTATTAAAGGGCTGCTTGTACATACCTAACTGATGTGCAGAGAGGTGTGGAGGATTTGTAGAACAGAATCCCAAGGACCTCTTAGTTAATAATGATCTTTGGCAAAAATGAGGAAAGGGAGAGAGGAGCAAACTAACTAAGCACACCTCCAGGTGTCTTGGAGTGCTTTTTAGTGCCTGATGTGGCATCATTCTTTAACTGTCCCTCCTCCACAGGAAAATCTTTGTAGAAAGCCCACCTGAATGCAAACAGTAATGTCCTGCCATACTGGGGAGGATGTGGTTTGAGTAGCCCTCAGGACTAAATGTGATTTCAATCGAGTGTGTAATTTTTGGGTTGTCCAGGTGGTTGTCCAGGTTACCTGAGCCTGTGGAGGACCAGCTGTGCTTATGCTGAGGTGCTCTGTGCTGCAGTGCACAGGGATTTAGGGCTTTCTTGGCTGTGTAACTGCTCCAGAGTAGCCATGATAAGCAGGAGTGTCCAGGTAGGTGGTGTTCCAGCAGGTGTCCCTTTTGCACCCTCCTGAGAAGCACTCTGTGAATGGAGTGGAAAATAGAGATTTCTGTATGCACAGCCCATAGATAGCTGACCCCTACAGAGTCTTTGGAAACTGGAGTGATTCTGCTCCATGCACGTGTTTCTGAATTGACATTTTGTCTGTGGGTTGTGTTAGTGGCTTGTAGTGAGAGTGGGGAGAGGGGTGATCCTGGGGAGGAGCAATGGTTTGAAGGTCCGTTATAACTCTGGTTTACTTTACTGCTACAAAATGGTTAAATCTATTCTCTTGAGATAACTAAATGTATGGTCTTCATCCTTGGGAGGTTCTGCCTCCTGGAGCTGTGTCTGTGGTGTTCCAGGGAGTATTTGGGGCAGCGGTGAGGCTGTGGTGAGGTCAGGGTGTGTGGCTGTCCCGGAGTTCTGGGCGGTAGCTGCTGTGAAATTCGCCTCTCCGTGGGGAGGTGCAGCACACGTGGCACCGCCAGGAGTTTGTGTGTGCCTGAAACAGGGACAGGCTCCCGGCTCTTGAACAGGTGAGGTGGAGGCACTGCCGGGCTGGGCACTGCCGTGAGTTTCGTCGCTGTCCCTGTGAGGTGTTGGTGGTGCCCTCTGATGGATGTGCCGGTGGGCACTGGCCCGAGTCACTGCCTTGCGGTGGCCCAGTCAGCTGCTTCCTGCGGGCTGATTCACGCGTCCTGCAGCACTGTCCCTCAGGGGTCACCTTGGGCAGGAACACTTCATTACCCAGTAAATCGATCGAGACTTTAATATTTCTGTTTAAGCATTTAATATTCCATTTAAGGAGAAGTCGGTGTTGTGAACTCAGTGTGTGACGAGAGGTGCAGCACAAGCACAGCATCCCTGTCACAGTTCATCAGGTTACAGATGCTGGTCCCTTTTGCAAAAGAGAGAGTGATGCATCTTTTTCTATTAATAAATCTCCATTCTTTCCCCTCATCTCTTATATTGTCGTGTGGTAGTTGTACAAATCCTAAATGAATGCACGGTGCTTTGGGACCTCTTGGGATGAAGTGCTAAATGGAAAACAAAATGTTAATCCCTTTGGTTAATTTTTGGTTGGGCTTTGAATAATAGCCTCAAGTGACGCTCTGGAACTCCTTGGGTTGACCTCCAGGGGACGGACCTGCAGCCCGTGCCTGTGCACTGGGGAATCGCTTCCCGTGGGGTGGGACGGTGCCACTGCCCCCCTCACCCTGCCCTGGCCGGGGACGTTCTGCTGCTGCTGCCGGGCCCTTTAAACGGGCGCAATTTCCCATTTCGGCAGAGTTTCACGGAGCTGTGGTTGCTGATGAGATTGGATCCGGGAACAGCGACGGGGAGGGACGGAATGGGGAAGACCTTCCCTCTGTCATGGCTGTGAGCTTGGAGGAGCAGGGGTGCAGGGAAGGGAGGATCGGGGACTGCAGGATTTGGGGGCGAGCAAGCACTGGGAGAGTCCTTCCACATCGGGAAACCGGTGTGTGAGCGCCTTTCCTGTCCCGCCGGCCTGGGGTGCTGCCTTCGTGCAGCTGCTTCGATATCAGTTGTAAAGTTGGAGTTTAGTTTGAGTAACCGAGTAATTCCTCTCCGGCCTTTTCTCCTCCCTCCGCTTTCCGTTCCTCGGCTTTGCCTTGTTTGCTCAAGTCAGGAAGGGGGAGGGCATGGGGGCGGTTAATCATTAACCTTAACTCCTTCACAGCCATGGGGCTCAGTGCTCCTGGCATTCCAGACCTCCCTGCTTCCGCAGACCTGTCAAAGTAAATCAGTGCGTGTAGCCGAGCTCACTGTGCGCCATCGGCAAAAGGCAGCGGGTGTCTGTCCCATGGGTCAGCAGCACAGAGAGGAGCCGAGCAGGGCAGTGTCTGTGCTGAGATGGTTACAGCTGCCGCTCCTGCACTGAGGGCTGGAGGTGGAGGGTGGAAAAATGGTTTGCGTCCCCTCTGCAGGGCCGGAGGAGCCCAACACCCTCACGGGATTTTCACTTCCTGGTGGAGTTTGAATTGCCTTTGTCATTGGAGGGGAGAAGCAAAAACCACTCCTTCTAGGCAAGCACTTCTCTGGGAGGTGGTGTGCGTGAAAGCTCCAGTCACAGGACCTGCCTGACTGTAGGAATTGCAGTTCATCGGCAGTTCCCTGGAGGTATGTGCCTTTCACTCTGCAGTCCACCAGCTGTTCTTTTGCTTGAAAAGAAGATTCAGTTCATTTTTCCCCAGCTGTGGAATACTTGTCTCCCTTCAGAGAATCTGCTTCTGGGATATTTTGGTCCCTTTAGGAAGATAGATCCTGTGACTTTAATGGTTCGGAGCATCTTTATTACTAAATGAAAGGTGTATAGAAATAATTTAACACAGCATTTAATTTGCTAATGGCTGTATTCTGCTCTCTGAGTGCAGGACTGCTTATTTTTCCTTTTATGATGCTTTGATTTTTTGAAAAGAGTGAATATAAAAGGGGCACCTTCCTCATCTTGTAATTCAATAATACTGTCCTCTTCCAATACATTTTCCTGAAGGCTTGCTAAGTGCATTGGCTGCTGTGGAGTGCTGTGCTCAGGAAGTGGCTCAGGGCTGGCAGGTGCTGCCCGGGGAGCTGTGGGCAGCCATTAGTGTGAGCAATTGCTTGGTTGCTATTCTGGTGCCACCAGCTCCTTGTGACCTGGTGGGGGACACTGCAGGGTGGCCACACTCAGGCTGAGCCCCTGTGCCCCAAACCTGAGTGTCAGGTACCTGCTGTGTGCAGGAGAAGGGATCTGCTGAGTCTCCCTGAGGACAGCTGGGTCTGTGCAGGGGAAAGGAGATCTAGGGGGGTTCACAGAGTGTTCTCTCCCAATTCTCCTGAAGCGTGTTCCTGTTTTCTGGCTGAATTCCACATCTCCAAAGGGACCTGCCGGGTGTGTCCCGTGAACGTGGAGAGTGCTGATGTCTCCACTGAACTCCTCTCTAACAGCCTTGCAGAGGTGTGCACTGTGCTGCTGCCCCAGTGGAAAGTGGCACGTGGCCAGGGAGGCTTTCTTTGGAAAGTGAGTGCAGCACAGACCTGCAGGCGCTCACTGGAGTTTCCCCAGCAGGAACTGCAATGGCTCTGCAGGGTGGGCACATGGGCTGGAAGGTCCAGCAGGTCAGAGTTTGCCTTTGAGTCAGCCCAGAAGAGTGCAGGGTTGGGAATGGGCAGAGAATACATTTGCAGGGAGAAATCCAGAAGGCTGGGAATGCCATTTTATGCCTAAACTCTGATGGGACTGTGGGATTTTTGAGAAGTGCTAACTGGGTCATGTGTGTCCTCTGCCTGGCATGAGTGACAGTGTTTGTAGCTGGTGGAGGTTTTCCTTCTCTTGAGGAATTTGTGAGCAATCTCCACCCATCTAGTTAAGAATTGTTTCCAGAAGAAATGGCGTTTACCTGGCAGCCTCTGGAAACTTGTTAACTGTTTGTATGAGGTACTGAGGGGGATTTTTGTCAGGACAACCAAAATACATCCTTCTGCTGCCCTGATGGACTGATCTGAACATTTCATGCTTCTTCCACTACCTTTGACTCTGGAGAAAACACCTCCTGAGATCTTGTTTCCTGCAGAAAGCAGTGCCTGCGGCCACAGTAAATGACTCTGTGATGATGTGGGGCCTGTAATTAGTCTGTGTCAATATCCTGGTGGAGTAGATGTCTGGACAGGCTTGCCTAGGTTGCACTTCTACAGGGTACAATGAGAGAAGACTACGGGTTCCTGTTGTTGGGTGTTTTTCCAGTTAAGGCAAAAATCTGAGACTGACACAGCTTTTCTGGCTGCTTTGCTACATCTTGGTGTTCTCTTTGTAGTACAAGTTTGATTAACTCGTTCATTCCTGAGCAGCACTAGTGTTTTTCAGGACATTTGGTAGATTACCAAAGACGAGAAGTCCTCCCAAAAAACTTCTGACACAGATACATTAAATGAGAAGAAAGAGACAAAGCTCTAGTCCAGGCTTTTACCATTTTGCTGGGGTTTTTTTGCTTTCCTGCAGACGCCTTGCTGGCAGACCTGGAATCAACCACCTCGCATATCTCCAAACGCCCAGTGTTTCTCACGGAGGAAACTCCTTACTCCTACCCAACTGGAAACCACACGTACCAGGAGATTGCTGTGCCACCCCCGGTGCCCCCGCCACCTTCCAACGACGCCCTGAATGGCACCGTGATCGACCCCTCGGAGCAGTGGCAGCCCAACACAGCCAGATACGGCCACCAGCAGGTGAGTGGGGCTGTGTGGGTGGGAGGGTGCTGGTTTTGTAAGGGCAAGATCTCTCAGCACAGTAAGGAGGAGGGAATAGGAAGAAACGACGATGAATTTGGCTGTGGAGCAGGGAAATGGGGGGAGGTGGGAGTTTTTATTAGAACTAACTGGTTGGAGCAAATGGCAGAAAAGAATTTGAAAGCCATCGTCACTGTGCTGACAAAATGGTGCTGTGATGAGATTAGTGTTAGTCATCTGTCTTGAGCCTGTGGAGGGCAGACTGGGGGTTTCCAGCACAAAGCTGTGACTCATAGGCAGGTCTGAAGTAAGGGGAAAAACTGTTCCTGGTGTAGCTCATCTGATAGAGACTGGCTTGACTAAAGAGCAGATCATTTATTTTGTTCTGCCTTGTCAATGCATGGGTTTGCAATGCAGTAGTGTACATATTTGTTTTGTAATCTCTGTTTCCAATGCAAATCTTGTTTCCACAGCCTCAGTCCCAGTCTCCTATATACAGCTCTAGTGCCAAAAGCTCCAGTGCCTCCATTCCTAGAGACGGGCTCAACTCTCCTACTCCCCGTGCCAGTGAAGAGGAGCACGTCTACAGGTATCCTGTCCCTTTTTAAGAGATAAGCCTGACTCACAACTTGAGCTTGCTGAGGGTCAAGCTGCCTGCTCTAAGTGGAAACAAGCACTGCTCTCCGTGTGTGTCACATTGCTTTGTGTCAGTTTTGATTGTCTCTTTTGTAACACACCACTGTAACTTTCATACTCACTTCAAACTTTGACCTGGCCCTTGGGCTTGCTCAGCTGCAGGAGGTTAAGGATCCATCAGACCCAGCAGGATCTGGGTTGTGTTGTGAAGGATATGATCCAGACACAAGTGACAAATCCACCCCCCTGCTAAAGAGCACAAAAGTTCTTCAGGGGGTGGATGGCCTTAGGGTTATTTTTCCCTGGGAACTCAGTACTTGTGGCCTGGAGTGTTGTGCAGGGACTTGAGTTTTCAGGTAAATTCAAGCTTCTTAAAAGTTCCCTCTCAGTAGGTGATTGACAGATAACAAGTTCACACTTGCAAAGGCAGCTGCTCTCACTCTGACAGGTTGGAGGAGTAGCCTGCACAGTAGGACAGACCTTTCTGCTGACATGGGGATGAGTGCTGTCAGAAATTCATCCTAGGCACCTTTTTACACTTTGGAGATTGGTGTTTCTTTGGAGTCATAATCTAACCATGCCAGCTCTTTCTGCTGAGCAGGAAGTTGCTTCCAACCAGAACTAATTCTGGTTAGAGCTCAGCTCCTCTCTGGGCAGCCTAGCCAGAGGTGGTCCAATGGAGATGGTAATTGCAATTTTTTCAGATGACTGCATGCAATTAGTATTAAATGAAGGTAATTAGAGCCCAAAGTCCTCTTGAACAAGGGTCTGGTGAGGCTTGGTTCTGGTGTGAGTTGTAGCTGCTGTGTTGGTTCAACATGAAGTATGTTCTCCTCAGATTGCAGTTGCGGATCTTGTTTTTCAACCTGAAGAGAAGGATAACTTCCCTTATGGAATTCATAATTGTCACTGGTGTTATTACAGGTGTCAGAGTCCTTAACCTGCTAGATACTAACTTCTTGAGCATAATGTGGTCCTGTGCACAAGGCAGAAGTTCCCATTTTGGATTTGGAAAATATCTTTTTGGTAAAATAAGAACCTCTAGAGCATTAAAAGTTATTTGTAAAGTTCATTTGTAAAACCAGGAGCAAAAAATGTTCCTGCCACTGACAATGGAAAGACTGTTACTACAGTGTAACCACTATAAAAATCACTGCATTGACCTGAAGTTCTGCTTTGGAACAGTTTGCAATTCTGTGTGGTAAATGATATCACCCATATAAGACTAGCAGTAATTACAGCCAGTGCCTTATACATGCATGAGTGTTTAACACAGTAGAAGATAATAACAAGTTACTTTCTTATGAATTGACTACAGTTCCCCAAATTAAAGGTGAGAGGACTTGGGGAGACCTTGAGTGTTGCAAGAGGCTATGACATATGCTACTGCTTTTCAGTTTCTGCTTCTAACCTGAGGCTTGTGCTTTGCCTCTGTCTCCAGTCTGTGCTAGCCCTGCATTCCCTCACTCAGGGAGGAGGATGTTGCTGCTTGGTGTGGTGTCAGCAGAAACAAGCCATTTTCCCATACATGAGCTAATGGTTCTGCTGCTGTTCTGTGCATTTTGCATCTACAGACAGATAACTCTTTCCTACAGGGCTGGGCAGCACATTGTCCTAAAATCAGAGGCCCTGTCCATCAATGCTATTTTTGTGATTTACAAGAATAGTAGTGGCTGTGTTCAGTCATGTCACAAAGCATGTGTCTTCTTTATGCCCAGAACTAAAAGCATCAGCCTGAAAAGACCACAGCACATGTGTAAACTTTGGGAACCTAATGAGTTTCCCTCCATCCTTCTGCTGTATCTTGATGCAGAAGTTTCACATTTCCCTTTTATCTTCAGTTTCCCGAACAAGCAGAAGTCTGCGGAGCCATCTCCCACAATGACCAGCTCCTCTCTGGGCAGCAACCTCTCAGAACTGGACAGACTCCTTCTGGAGCTGAATGCTGTTCAACATACCCCTGCCAGTGGCTTCACAGGTAAGGAATAGGAAAACGTTTGGTATGAGTGGATACTTTGATTCTCAGAATAGTAGCTTGCTTTTTCTTTCCAACATCCTTAGTGAGGGAGACCCCTCCAGCCCTTAATCAAAGATTCATTTAGTGAGGGTGGGATCTCCTGAGGTCTGAGCTGCAGCACCCTGCTCAAAGCAAGGCCAGCTTCAAAACTGCCTCTAACTAAAGTTTTGAAGTTAGTTTAGGTTGCTCAGGCCCTTGCACTGTTAAGTTTCTAATATCCTCGAAGATGGATGTTCCACAAGATTTCTGGACAATGTTTTATACTTGCTTGTGATTAGCAGATATGTGTGTGTGGAATGGGGCTCTGAATGGCTCTTTTCTGCTCCCCTTTCTTCAGATGAGGCTGGCAGAAGCCCATCACTGCCCAATGTGGCTGGCCCTCACTATGTTGTCCCAGAGAACAGCAGCTCAGGGGGAGGGAAGGCTGCACCCCCGACAAAAGAAAAGCCAAAGCGAAATGGTGCCCGTGGGATTGAGGATGTGCGTCCCAGCGTGGAGAGCCTGCTGGATGAGCTGGAGAGCTCCGTGCCAAGTCCAGTGTGAGTAGTGTTGTGGTGGTGGCAGGCTTGGGTGGGGTGGGCTCCTGGGGGAATGGTGACTGTGGTGTAGGGGCAGCTGCTGCAGACAGTGATGGATGGAAGATGGGCTTTGTCTAAAGGGTCAGAAGTCAGGTGGGTCCTGGTGCTTTGTAATCTACTTCTGGATGGAAAAATGCATAAGTCATCCGTTAGAGGTAGACTGTTCAAGCTCAGATTTACAGCTGAGCACAAATACAAAATGAACATTCAGGCATCATCTGTTTCTTAGAGGATGGGATGTGTGTGCACACGTGAGGCAGGGTCTGCATGTGCTGGGGAAGCTGGGCCAGGTTGGGCTGTGGTACTGAAACTCCTCATCCTCTGCTTACTTGGGGGAACAGTGGGACTTCAGTCTAGGAGTGCCCTCCAATGTTTAAACACACTCTTCCTAAAATTTTCTTTTAATTTTTCCCCTGGCCAGGCCTGCAATCACTGTGAGCCAGGGCGAGGTGAGCAGCCCCCAGCGTGTCACGGCCAGTCAGCAGCAGACTCGAATTTCTGCTTCTTCAGCTACACGAGAACTGGATGAGCTGATGGCATCCCTCTCTGACTTCAAGGTACCCTGTCATGGCAGCTGAAAGCTTCATCTTGTCCCTACCCAGCCCAGTCTCTCTTGCCTGTTAACCACATTTGCTGACCTTGGTTGGTCAGAATGCCTCCTTTACCTCTCACATTTGCTCTGATAAACTTCCTGTGGTGTATTTGTGCTTTCTCAGTGGGGCTGTAGGTGTCCTTGACTGCTATAAATTGTCATCACTGGCAGGGTAAGGCAGTTCTGGGATCTGTTTTTCCTTCAGTTCTGCAGTTTGTCTGTTTGCCAAAGATAATGAGCTTTGTTACTGCTCGGTAGAGTGAATTATTTTGCTGTGCTACAACTTAATGAGAAGGAGAGAGGCATGGGGACACCACCCTGCTTTCTGACAGAGACCAGGCCCTTCTGTTCTGTGGGATGACTCCTCTCTGGAGTGTATTTTTATCCTGATGTGCTTTCCCTGAGGAGAATGGATATTCCAGGCATGTGGTGTGAGCACTGAAGCGCTTACCTCAGACAGAAGGAGATTTCAAAGGTTTTATCTTAAAATGAAATCTCTTATTCACCTCAACATGGGATTAAAGTTTCAGTTTCTTGTGGGGGCAAAGGATGGCAAGTACTATTCAGTGTCAGCATATGTACTTGAATAATTTTTTCTTTATTCATGTGGGTGTGTTACCACTCCTGCACTAGATGATGAACTATGGAGGTTGTTCTCATGGGATTTCATTTACCCATACTCATGGCAAAATGAAAAATACTTTCTCACTTTCTACTTTCAGCTGCTTTGCTTATAGTTTTACCTAATTATTGACTTGGATTTCTTCTGAGAGAGGTGGAGAAAGCAAATATACTGGATAATCTCTTTGTTAGGTTTGCCTTTTTTACATACCTATCTGCTTTCTAATCCTAAATCAGTTCCTAACTCTCTGTTTTATTCCTGTATGGAAGATTCTGCTGCATGCTTGAGATTTCTTGTCTGTGCTGAACTCTATCCCCTCCTAGATGACATTAGGTGGGGCAGCCAGAGCTGAGCAGTGTTTTGTGAGGAGAGGTACAGAACATGTAGTGACAGCTTTTGCTGTTTGCTGTTCTTTCTGTGCTTAGTGGGTCCCATGGAGATCAATACATCACCCAGAGTTGTGACAAGTGTGTGAGTTCAGAACCTAGCACTGGGCACACGTGTTCTGAGAAGCTTCACTTGCCTTGTGCTTGCTGGAATGGAATTCAGTCTGCCATTCCTGGCACATGCACCTAAATCAGTGAGAAGCTGTGAGTTCCTCAGTGTTTTCTCTAGACTTACTGTAGTTGTGTTTAGTCAATTGCAAATATTGACACCTTTTTTCTCCTTCTGAGGTCCTAGGGTGTAGTGCAGGGTAGCCACAAGCTCTGTCCACCCTGGTTGAAGCACTGCAGTGCTGTGGAGCTGGAGAGAGCTCCCACTTGTGCTTCTGGCATTCCATGCCCTGCTCCTTCCGTGTGCTGTGGGAGCTGAGCCCTGTGGCCTTGTGCCCCTGCTGCTTTTATCAGGAGCTAGCTCAGGGTGTGGCCCAGCCTTTGCTCCCAGGTGAGCTCTTGGCAGCTGAGAATGACCTTGCCCAGCACAGGTTTCTTTGGTGAGAACAGGGAGTGGGCATTTTTAAGTGTGGGTGTTCAGTACTTTGCACTCTTGAGAAGCTTTAGAATCTCCACTAAAACCTGTGTGACAGAAATGAGCTGCTGTGGCTAACACCACCTGCCTTCCTGGTTTAGTTTTCAGTTGACCTCAGAGACCAAATTGAAATGCAGCAAGATATTAAGATCTGTGCTTTATTAAGCACAGAATTGGTATTTTTGTGAAGCATTGAGCTCATCTGTGCCTAAACATTCTTCCTGGAGCACAAGGAACACGGCTTCTGTGATCATTTCCCTTTTGTTAATGATGTCATTGACTGTTTTTAAGTTACTTTCCTTTTCTCCTGTTGTCCAGGTTGCTTCATTTTCCCTTCAGTCCTTTTTGTTTGGTTATACCTCTTCTGTTTGTGCCAGCTGGGGGTGTTAACTTGGCTGTAAAAATGTATTCTAGTCTGTACCAGTGTCAGAATATAAGGGAGACAAGGGGAGTCCTTGCAAAGGTGGAATATGAAAGGCTGCTGTTGGAGTATCAGACCTGTGTGTGACTGCAGGATACAGGATAAAAACCCCAAATATGATATGTAATTAGTTGGAATTGATAGAAGTTGCAATGGGTGAGGATGGGAGGAGTGGAGGGCACTTGGCACTTTGCCTTTTACCCCTGAGTAAAAGGTGATGTTACATTACCCTTTTATTATATTTTGCTCACCCTGATTTGTTGCCCCTTCTTTTTGCTTACAGAATCCATTTGATTTTGGTTATCTGGTTAATCGGTCATCAGGCACTGAGATTACTTAATGCACTTGTTTTTTTACCCTCTGCCATTTCTGTGTAATGTGATGCCTGCTTACTGCATAACTGGACACTTGTAGTTAACTGTTCTGTTACTGTGGAGCGCTCACCCATTGCTCTTATTTTGGAATTAGTATGGTTTCAGTATGTTAAAAATACTGTTTGAGCAAAACGTTACTCTTGCCTTGAAAGTGACTGACTTCATTTTAGGAAGTCTGGAAACCAAATGTGAAGCACAGCATCAGACCAGGTTACTTTTACAGGTGTACCCAGCTTAGGCAAAATTCAGGGAGAGGGCATGTTGGGATATTCCCTCATTTTAATATACTGGCGAGTCATTTTCCTCTCAGCTGTGACTGTGGTCACAGTAGCCTGGCTGTGCTACTCGAAGGGAAGAGCAATCTGTAATGAAATTTGGTCTCTTACTGCTCTTTCCTTTCTGAGAACAGTCTCCTTGTAGCACTACTGGTGTGGCTTTGCAAGCGTGTGCATGTGTGCCAGCTCCTGGCCCCTCAGCACGGCAGGAGCTCAGGTCAGCTGAAGGTTATTATTCTTCCATTTCCTGACAGGTTTTGTGCATGATCTGGTTAATTATATAGTTTTTTTCATTATAATTATCTCAGAAAGGTAAGTGGAGACTGAGGTAGCATATGTGGGGCTTAGGAAGTTATGTGCCCTTCCACCTCAGAGCATAAGCATCTGACTTCTTTAGGCTGCTCTGGAAAATATGATGAAGAGTCAGAGCAGGTCTTGATAGCTCTTGGATTTGGAAATCCTTTGTGGGTACATTTTTAAAACTGAGAAGGCACAGTCTTGGTCTTAGGTTGACCTGCTGTGTGAGCTTGTCCAAGTTGCCTATCTGAGTCTCCCTTTCTAAGAAAAAGGAGTTGTAATACTTTGTCTCCTAGAGTTTAATCAGGAACCACTGGAAGTGGGGAAAGAAGCACCCATGATCTTTTGTTTTCAAAAGATCCTGTAAGTCAAAGAAAGCCAAAACCTATGTATTAATTGCTCTTCTTAGAATGTTTTTTGGATCAAAATTAATACTGATTTTATTACAATGTCAATGTGGAGTCTTTGGCCTAAGGGGAAGAGGCTAATCTGCCACCTAAGCAATGCTCACAAGGGCATGGAATGACTGACAGGCTCGTATAGATTCAGTGTGTGTCCCTTCCAAGGTGAGATTAGTGATGTGAATAGAACAAAGCCCATGTCATCTGCTCTTGCTGTGAATGCCCTGAAGCTTTGTTTTCATTGCCATGAACTCAGCCAACTGGAGCATTTTATTAAGTGTATCAAGAAGAAAATGTCATGCTTTGTTCTATTCATTGATTGCATTTTTTGCAGCTTTGGAATACAAAATTTACATGTCTGACTGTGAGTAAGTTTACATGACCTTTATTCACAGTCGAGACACTCCTGGGTTTGGAGCTGGCTTCCCAGCAGTGGCTGTGGCCATGCCACGCCCCCATCACAGCTGCAGGTGAACACTGAGCTATCACTGAGGAGGAGGGCCCAGGAAAAGGATCCCAGAGGCTGTAGAACTCGTGAAGATCAGTACAATGTCATACTGGTTCTGCTCTTTGGTGTTTCATTTTTCTTCCTTACTCTTGGAAGTAAGGATTTGGGTCAACATGGCTTTTTGATTTGGGAGTCATGATTCTTATAATGTTTAATTCTGTGCCTTTTTTTTCTTCTCCTTATCTCTGTCATTATCTTTTTCTCTCCTTATTCCTTCTATCTCTTCTTTTGCAGACTAGTTCCACTATGTCTCTGATTTCTGAATCTTCCCTAGAACCGGTTCCCAGTTCAGCAAATGCAGACTCCAGCAACACTCCTCACAGTTTAACAGTGCTGTCCCATTCCAAACACCCTTCTGCAAGTCACAGTGGGGACTCAACAGTGCCAACATCTGTCCCCCCAGCAGACACCTGCATTGAGGAAGGCAGTGACACTGCAGTTCTGCCTTTGCCAGGGCACCCTGCTGCCCCTCCACCTGTGCCCCACTTAGCACAAACTGTCCCTGTGCCCCCGCCACGGAGCTCCTCTGGTTATGCTACTCGTGGGGAGCAAGTGGCCTCTGCCAGCTTAGTTCAGCTGAACAGAAAGCCTGACTCTTCCAGAAATACCTCCCAGGCTGTGCCAGCTTCCAGTGTGGAGCTTCTCTGTAGGTCTGCTAATGTGGAGGCACGGGGCTTAGGGTATGATGTGGCAAAAGAGACTGAGAAGAAGGAGCAGAGAACTGATCCCAAAATCTCAAATGTACCCATTTCAAAGAAGGGGAAGATAGCCAAGGAGCTGCATCAGCAGGGAGCACTCAGGGACTACTCAGCTCTTTCCTCCCAGGGCAGAAGTGTGGAAACAGCTTTAGATGAGCTGTGGCCCCTGGAGCTGCCTGCACATGTGCCAGAGGTGCATGCAAAGAATGACAATGTTTTAGATTCTGTTAATGAGCCTTCTGTTGTTGCCCTGGAACGTTGGGATGTCTTCCCAGACACTAAAAGCCAGTTGGGCTTTGTAGCAAAGCAAGGACAGGAGCTAAAAGCTGAAGTGCCACACGAAACCAAGGTAGACCACTGTCCTGATGTGGGCAAGAAGAGGCAGGGCAGAGACAGAACTCCTAGGAAGGCAGGTACTGCTAACATGAACAAGGCCAGAGGAGACCAGGAAAAGGAGCAATTCAGAAGCTCTACAGTCACTCCGGAATCTCCTGAAAGCTTTGGGAAGGCTGAATGGGATCTGCCATGTGTCTCCAAACCACCCATTGAGAGGATTTCTGCATCAGGCCAGGCAGGCACTGAGTGAATGTAGGAGTAGGGCAAGTCCTAGCCAGGACTGTTCTGCCAGCACACTCACAGTGTGTGCATGCAGTGAGTGTGCCCAGGCTCACCCCACTAACAGCACGAGCTCTGAGCGGTGTCACTGACAGCTGCATCTCACAGGGCTTCACAGCCCCCAGCTTTGTCTTGTGGTCTCTCCTGCATGTGATTCAGCAGCACAGAACATGGCAGCTTGTAGGGACTTCCTTGTGAAGTGGATTTTTATTCCCTAACTGGGGTAAGGCTCAGTCCACAGAGACCTCCAAAAAGCTGAAAGGGCTGTTTCATGCTACTGATTGGGATGGCAGCTCCTCTGCTCTGTTTACTGTTTTAGGTCTCATTACTGAAGCTGTCAGTGTTCCTTTCCGTGCTGGAAGTACACTTTGTGCACCAGACATCTCTGACCAAGAGCCTTGTGCCTGTCAAGGGCAAACACAGAGGCACAGCTCTGTGCCCTTGTGATGCTGAGGTTTCTGTAATGCTCAGTGGAGTGTTCATGCTGCACCTCCTATCTTGGCTTCCCACTGGTTAATCTTTCCCTTCCTTTTCTAGACAGTTATTTTTGGCTGCTATGATTATCCTTACAGGGTTTTTCCTTGCACTGAGTCACTGTTCTGGGCTGTGCCAAGAGGAATTTTGGCATTGTGGAATAAATGCCATCACTCTTCCTCCTCACAATTGTCACTAATGTCTTTGAGTTTGTGCTGTTGCATCTTGGGGCTTGCTCTGACTTTGCTCTTCTCTGCTGATACTATTGCCTTTGTCATTTAGATAAAATCTTTAATCAAGAGGACAAAAGAGACTGCGAATGTGCATCCAATGTCTCGGGACCTCTCTCCAAGGCGCAAACTAGGTCCTGCCATATTCCACAAGACTGAGTCCCAAGATCGCTTGATTGAGGAGCTTCAGGACAGACTGGGCATCGATAACCAGGAGCAGAAAGATTGGCAAAGCCAGGATGCCTGGCTGACAGAGGGGGTCATTGTCACTGCCAGGCCCCGGGGGGAAGAGCAGAGTGGTGAACAGCAAGTAGAGAAGGTAGAAAGCAGGGTCACACATGCTGGGAAATTCCAGCATGTCCCTCTGTTCAGATTGCATTGTGTGGAGGTGCAGACTGAGTTTCTGAGCATCCTAAGCAACACAAAATGAAGAAGTAACTATTCACCCTTGTCTGGCCTGAGAGGGAAAGCAGCACAGGGTTCTACTTCTGTATGTTTAAGAACTGGAGTGGGATCTGAGGGAGCTACTTATGGTATCTGTTGATGCAGTATCCTGCTATCACATCTCAAATATCCATGTGAGGATTATTTTTAAAACCCCACTGGGAAGCCTGATACACAGGCATGCTTTGTTCTGTCCAGTGCTGTACCTGTGCAGGCCTTTCTGGGGATGAGTAAAATGGTGCTCTTCCTTAAGCTACAAAGAGCAGCACCTTTTGTAGCTCCCTTCTCCTTCTTGCTGCTTCCCCCCCTTAGATAAACATACTGGTAGCAGCCAGCCTTCCTGTTAAAGGAAGTGCTTGTTGGTTCCTCTTTGGATTTATTCACCTTTCTTCTTCCTCCGTGTCTTTCTAGGTGGTTTTTCCTCCAGAATCCCCACTCCTCTCCAGGAGGACAATCTCTGTTCCTGTCTCTTCCCAGCTCCAGCCTTCCAAAGAAGCTGCAAAGATAGTCCCTGCTAATGCTGCTCCTTCTCCTGCCTCTGGCCCTGCACCTCTTCTCTCACTCCCACCTCAGCCTTCCTCTGTGTCATCTACCCCAGCTCCTAGTCCAGTTTCTTCCTCTTCCTTCAGCTTGGCTCCCCAGCCACTCTTCCAGTGGGAAGCTTCTGATAATGATTATCATGAGGTTTCTGTTGTGGGCACCCCTCCTAATGAAGATCCCAAACATTCCTGTTCTCCCCAGACCTGGACTCCTAGCACCAAGGCAGTTGTCTCTGTTGGCTGTCAGACTGAAGATGAAGCTTTCTTCCCAGAAATGCAGGCAGGCTTCTCTATTCTGATTTGTGTTTTTAGCAGTATTTTCCAATCCAACTACTGCTTGTAATTTGACAGCTCAATAGATAGAGTGTTCAGGTAAAGGCTGGTATGAACTGCTGGATGGGAGGGAGGACTCATGGACAATATCTAATCCCAGCTGTAGTACTGCACAGTACATGTCTGTGCAATAACTTGCTGGGATATGTGGGTCCTGTGTGTCCTGACAGGCACTTCATGCAGCAGGGACTCTCATTTCCCTCTGAGATTGAGGTAACTCTGAAACACAGCCTGGAGCTCTCCCTTCCACAATCTCTCTGAAGTGGGGGGAGTAGAAGAGGGCAGAACATGCATACTGGAAGGAGCAACTCAGCAACCCTTCCTGTGTTTGCCCTTTTAGGCAGGTGTCCACTGTATGAGTGGATTTGGGGGAGGAGATGGCATGGTCAAGACCTGGGTTCTGCATCTCCTGCCAGGGAAGGGCTGTAGCTCCAGGGTGGTGGGGAGTCTTTAACATATAAGTGCAGTGCAGTGTTAGTGTACAGCTCTAAAGCAGTGAGCAAGAAACATCTCTGCATCTTGACCTGTTGTACTTTGCAGGTGACCTCTGCTCCTCCCCTAGTCCGCAGTGCCAGTCTGTTGGCTGCTCCTACACCCTGGGGCCCCACAGCCCCTGACAAGGCAGGATCCCCTTTCTGTTTCCTCAGCATGGTGTGTGCTCTTCTGGTTGATGAGTGTGCTGGGATCTGCTCCTGGAGCTCCCAGCACTGTTAATGTGGATAATATCCTGTATTGCATGGTTTGCTACCCACAGAGCTCCTTTCTGAACTTGAGTGATGGCAAATCTCATGGGTGAGGGGTGGGAGTTTGAAGGGCCTTTGCATGATCAGTTTGCATGAGGATGATGTGCCGAGTGTCCCCTGCAAACAGCATGGATTATGTACAGGAGGTGGAAACAAGCCTCTTTCAGGTGGGGGCTCATTTGTGAGCTGTCAGGAGGGCTGGATGGCCAGGCCAGCTAGAAATGGAGGTGTGCACAGGTATTTGTGTCTGCTCTCGGGTCAGCCATGACTGGCAGGACTTTGTGCTCCCTCCAGGTCACTACAAGGGTGAAGTGCTCTGTTGCTACATGTTGAATTCATCTCTTCTCCTTTCTTCCTGGATGGTATTTATCACTTGTATGTGGCATCTGTGCCTGCCCTGTGTGGCCATAACCCCTGGCTAGAGCAAGAGAAGCTGTGATTCTTTCCACACAGTGCAGCCCTTTTCTTCCTGCTGCATCATGCAGGAAGCCTGGGCTTTATCCTGGGGCTCTGGACAGGCTTTGTCTCCAAGCACTGTTGTCTCTCTCTGTGAGAGTGCCCTTGCAGGTGTGTGTGTGCTTTGGAGGCAGCCACTGTAACAATTTTTGATAGCAAATGTGTGTTGTGAAGGGTTTGTTTTACGCTGAGGATGCTGGGGTGTGATGGGGCTGCTTGTGCTGCTGGACTAGGAGAGGTCAGTTGAGAGAGGAGGGGAAAAGCTGTGTGTTAGGATCCATTGGGAGTCACATTGCATGGGAGGCAAGGCTGGAGAGTGTGTGGATGTGTGTGTGAAAGCAGCTAAATTCATGTATGTCATGAGAATGTTTATACAAATGAGCAGAAACCAGGATTTATCATTGAATAAACTGGTCAACTGCAAGGACAAGCAGCTGCAGCACAGGGAATAGAGCTCCTCCTGTGGATGGAAGGGCAGGGTCTGCCAAGGCTTGGAACACTTCAGCATGTCCCTGCTCCTTTGGCTATGCTGGCAGCAGGCTGGTTGTTCATAGACATAGATTTTGTCTGTTTTAATTTACTCTCTTAGTAAAACAAAACATACTCTAAACCAAATTTCTTTGTGTGTCCCTAAACCTGACAGTAGCTATGGCAGTGCCAAGTCAGCTGAAATCATCTCTTATTTCCTTGCTGGGGTTTGTCTGTAAAGGGGGCTGTGGTGGCCAAGGAGAACATAATGCTTTGTTTATAAGTTATGAACCTCAGTAAAACATTTCTCCCCTCCTCTGGAAGCCTTTCCAAGCCGTGTGTGCTGTGGTGGTGTGAGTTTCAGAAACAGCCTCTGAGACAGGCATCCAAATCCCCTTCCCCCCACTGGTGCATTTCCAACTACAGTACACCTAGCAGCCCTGTCTGCTGGGCATGCACTGCCTGCTCTGTAGGTAAACAGCAGCCAGCTGGGAGGGAGTTCCTTCCTTCCTTCCTGCTTCCAGTTGCTTAGCTCAGGCATGGGGGAGAACCACCTGAGAGTGAGAGAGAGACTTGGCAAACAGGTGTGCAGATGGTGGTGCAAAGGGAGAAAATTTTCTAGCTGAAGGGGAGATGAGAGGAGGGAGAGAAGAGCATCTCTATCAGAGAGGAGAGACAACTGAGAGCAAGAGCATAGGAATGGAGAGAGGTCAAGGAGAAGGGGCCCTCTGGATGGCGTCTGCTTTGTCAGCTGGCCAGGAACTGATGAGGTAAAGGGAAATTTTTGGCAGAGGCTTAGAGAGCACTATACTGAGTGCCTGGGATGTGCTGGTGACTGTTGCTGTGTGTGCAGTGAAAGAAAATCAAATTCTCAGTTCACAGCTCTGCTGTTACATATCTCAGTTCTCTGCTTGTCTCTGTGTGGTCAGAATACATGTGTGTACTTGATCCTGACTCTCACCAGCTTCTTCAGAGAGCGTAGCTGACTCCTGTCTGTCTCTGCAGGGGAGTCACTGGCAGCAACAGCAGGCATTTATCTGATAAGCATAGCAGCATTCATCTTACAGTATTTGTTTTGTCTCACCTGCAGTTCATGGCGCAGGGAAAAGCTGGGAGCAGCTCCCCTCCATCCACAGCCTCCAAGCCTGGCAGTCAGCTGGATACCATGCTGGGAAGTCTTCAGTCTGACCTGAATAAACTGGGTGTAGCTACAGTTGCCAAAGGTGTCTGTGGAGCCTGCAAGAAGCCTATTGCTGGGCAGGTGAGTTGAAGGTGCTGCCTTATTGCTGAACCTTGGGCTGCAGCTGGGAGTAACGGGGAGGGCTTGTTTCGTGAGGCTGGAGAGACTGGAGATGCTGGAGAAACTGAAGTACTCTATTTATCCACTGGCTAGGTACGCTGTAAGCTCCTCCAGTGACCTCTACCCTGCCCCTGAGGGACTGCCCTCTCCTGAGATGATAGGTAATTCAGTTTTCATGCTACCCCAGTCCAGGGCTCACTTGAGTAGTAGAACTTGTCATTCTTGCTGACCTCCAGCTGGTATCTTGTCATGTGGTCTAGGGAAGGGAGGGAGAGATAGAGTTGTTCTCCAAAATCTGTTTTCCCAACAGGTAGTTACAGCCATGGGGAAAACCTGGCACCCTGAGCACTTTGTCTGCACCCACTGCCAGGAGGAGATCGGCTCTCGGAACTTCTTTGAGCGGGACGGGCAGCCCTACTGCGAGAAGGACTATCACAACCTCTTCTCCCCTCGCTGCTACTACTGCAACGGGCCCATCCTCGATGTGAGTTCTTGGGGGAGTCATGGTGCTGGCAAGTTCCTGCAGGCCTAGGTGTTGAAATTCCACTTCACCCATGTATCCTGGGTGGAAGGTTTTGTTCAGGGATTTCTCTAGTTGTTCTGGCCTTCCTTTGAAAGGGAAACAACTTGGCACACTCAAATTCTTACACTAGTGAGTGGAGTTGGTCCCTCTTACCTTTGCTGGAGTTCCTTCAGAACCCCACATTGCTCCATCATTCTGGTAATGATTCCTCAGCTTTTGTTGTTGGTAGCCTGTGGTAACAGGCACCAGTGCTGGTCCTTAAGACTGGGTGGGGCCCTGTGTAAGGGAGGAAGCAGTGCCTAAGATCCTTTTAGGGTAAAAAAAAGTGTGCAGTGGGAAAGTCTGAACGAGCCAGAGGCAGGGGCAAATTGACTCTGCTCTCTAAAGGACAGTCTATTTTAATGCTTGCTCTTGTCAGCACCAACATTCATGTGTCCTCTCTCCAGCCCCCCTTACTCACCTCCAAGTCATTTACATGACCTGCACTTTGTGTTTTCTTCTCAACAGAAAGTGGTGACGGCTTTGGATAGGACATGGCACCCTGAACACTTTTTCTGTGCCCAGTGTGGAGCTTTCTTTGGACCTGAAGGTATTGCTGGTTTATGCAAGGGGAAAGCAATCTCCCCTCTGAACTGCAGAGGAGGGAGTGAGGCAGAGCTGCTTCCAGGGTACAGCCTGAGGCATCACAGGGGAACTACTGGAGTTCACAGGAGCTGTTTATGGGGGAAGGATGGTGCCAGTAATAATGGCTTCTCCCTGGGGAGGAAGAACAGGCCTCTGCTGGGATGGGAAGGGAACAGGACAAGAAACAGCTGTGGCTGCTCTGTGTGCTAGCAGGAGGATGATCCTACCCACATGGGTCACCCTGCACAGATTGTGTTGCCACAGGTGAAGATGAGGAGCTGATCCCTTTGCCTCCCCTCTCTTCTGGCAGGGTTTCACGAGAAGGATGGCAAAGCCTATTGCCGCAAGGACTACTTTGATATGTTTGCTCCCAAGTGCGGAGGCTGTGCCCGGGCTATCCTGGAAAACTACATCTCTGCCTTGAACACCCTGTGGCACCCCGAGTGCTTTGTCTGTCGGGTAAGAAACCCAAGGTCCTTTGCTGCTGCTCTGTGACCCCTCTTGTTTCCACCCTGAGGCATCTGGTCCCATATCAGGGTAAGGTGTCTGTGGGGTAGTGAAGGGCAGCCAGCCCCACAACATAAAAACATGCCAGCAACCAAACATCTTCTTGTTCTCTGTTTATATTAAATTTTGGAGTTGCTTTGCTCTTTCTGTTCCCAGCTTTAACTATCAGCTTCTGCAGCAGCTCACAGATAGAGATATTTCTGTGACCTTTAAATAATTATAAGCTAAGCTTCTCTCTGAGCACTTGCAGCAATCAGATTTTGAGGATATTCCTCCCATGCTCCATCTGAAAATGTAAACTAATGAGAGTGACCTTGTTCAGACAAACATGCAAGTCAATGAAATAGTGGCAAGCTCCATACAACAGGCATAATAAACAGGAATACTGCAGATTAAATGCCTGGCGCTCTTTCAGAGAGCATTGCAAATATTAACTCTTACCATCCCCAAGAGATGAGCCAAACCAGCCACTGGTTTCCTAGAGGGGGAAAGAAGGCAGAAACCAGATCAAGCAGCCAGAACCAAAAGCTGCTGATTCCTGTTGTGATGCTCAGAGCAGACAGTCACCACCCTATTGGGACTGTCTGTGGCTCCTGCAGTGGTGTGCAGAGTGAGGCAGAAGCTGTGCCTGACTGGGGCTAGGAGGGCTATGCCCTCTCATGCAGAGATTGAGACTTTATCAAGCAGTTCTGTTTTCCTTTCCCCCTACTGTGGCCTGAATTAGTGAGGCCAGAACAGATTTCTTCCAGGCCACAAGATGTGATTCTCTACTGTTTCTGCAAAAGCAGAGCAAACCTTTCAGCTGTTCTGCTGACTGAAGTAACTGTCAGCATTGGTAAAGTCTTGGACTTGCTGCAGGCAAGCTGCATTCTCCTGCAAGTGTTCAGCTGCCCAGGGCTCTGCATGCTGTTTGCTGGACTCTTGTCCACACACTGGGAGCCAGCTGTGTGTGATACTCAGTGTCCCCCCTGGGAAAGAGGACAGCAAAACCAGGATTCAGGAAACTGCCTCCTCTGGGTCTTGCTGCTGATATATTTGCTAAGTCCCTCCCTTACTCTGCTGCCTCAGTTTCCCACTTTTACAAGGAGAGGAGTCTCTCCAGTCTGGTGGGGATAGTGGGTGCTTCTGTTGCAAGTTGTGCAGTGAAGTGTCCTCAGATGCTGAGGGGAGGGAGCAGCTCTGGACATTTATTAGCACATAGCTGATGTATCCTCTTCCCCTTATCTATTCAACATCATTAGCACTATAGAACAAACAGTTTCTCCCAGCAGTGACCCATGTGTAACTGGAAATATTTCAGGCTGGACAATCTTTTGCAGAGTGTACCTGCCTAATGCCAGCCATTCTGGAGGTCACTCATAAAGATTAATTGTGCCTGATTTTCTCAGCTGGAACCAGTCCCATGCTCATCAGGATTCTGCTGCATGAGTCTCTTGGTCCTTTTTTCTGCTTGCCCTTGTAGGGAAGCTGGAGTGAGGGGGAAAAAAAAAAACCCCAGGGAAAGGTGCTGCAGTGTTTCCCCTCTCAGGGCAGGAATGTTCTCCTTTGTCCTGGCTGGATACATCTGGTAACTCATTCATAGTATTTTCTTTGTAGAAGTGAAGCCAGCTGGGTGAAGGAGCTGACTAATTCCCTTGCTTATTTTTCTATCTGTCCATTTCTTAGTCTTTTTTTGGAAGCCCTTCCTGATGGACAGAGTTTGGCTCTGGATAACTGGTCAGTGCTGAAAGGCAGCAGTTCACCTGCTGGGCTGTGCCATGGAGCAGAGGATGCTGGTAGAGCTGCCCCTCCCCACCACCCCAGCTTCTCATACAAGCTGTCCCCTTTGCTTTGTCCTGCTGCAGGAATGTTTCACCCCGTTTGTCAACGGCAGCTTCTTCGAGCACGACGGGCAGCCCTACTGCGAGGTGCATTACCACGAGCGCCGCGGCTCGCTCTGCTCCGGCTGCCAGAAGCCCATCACAGGACGCTGCATCACTGCTATGGGCAAGAAATTCCACCCAGAACACTTTGTCTGTGCCTTCTGCCTCAAGCAACTCAACAAAGGAACCTTCAAGGAGCAGAACGACAAGCCCTACTGCCAGAACTGCTTCCTCAAGCTCTTCTGTTAGAGGCACTATAGATGGGCGCTCAAGCATCTTTCTGCCACCCCCTTGGCAGTTCTGTCTCTCTGAACATTACTGTGATTTAGGAACCTTACCAGGCAGGGGAGGAGGGGGGTGGGGGGTGGGAAGTGCTGCTATGGAGAGGCAGTAGATCCAGAGATGAGATGGACCATTAAACTGGAAACGCCCTTGCTGTGTCTCAGAAGAGAGAGGCTGAGATCCCTCATTATGGTGTGTGTGTGTCTGTGTGTGTGACTGACAGCTGAGCTTAGCTCGAGGGCTCTAACAGGGAGATTTTTCCCAGCCGCCTCCTGGCAGCAGGAGGCTTTGCCAGTACTTTTCAGCCTGTGTCAGCTCTCTGAGCAAATGGTGACACTTGCAGACAACACAACCCTCTGCTTTGACACCTCATTCTCAGGCTTTTGCCTGCTCGTGTGCAGGGTGACAGCACAGCGAGGCCACCCTGTGACCTCTGTGCCACCCTGGCTCTCCTCACAGAGTTACATGGTGTGTGTGACTTGCTGAGACTAGAGCATCAGCACAGGCAGCCAAGACCCTGCAAGGGTCTCTCCAGTTCCATTACACTGTAAGGAGATAATACCACTTACTCTTTTTTTAATTAAGAGGAATCAAGGTGTTACTGTGTGGGGTGTTTTTCTTTTTTCCCTAGTTTGTTACTCCCTTTCTCGATGCCTTCTCTCAGCACACTGGAGCAGGAGGTGGGGTAAGCCCCAACCATCCCTCAGCACTGTTGTGCTCTCCTGTGGGGACATGCAGCTCCATAGGCACCCAGGCCAGCTCAGGGAACCTGCTCCCCTCACCTGCTGCTCCTGGGGGAGGAAGAGGCATCACCCCTTCTTTAAACACAGGTGCAGAGAGGTTAGAGCAGCCTTTTTCATCCAGCCCTGTCATGAGCGAGTGCGACGTGCGAGTGTTTATCTGGCCTGGAACTCTCCCATCTATCAGGGCCTGAATCTGTCACAAGAGTGGCTAGAAGGAAGGGTTTAAGAAGCCAAGAAAAAAAAAATTCCTAAATTTACATCCTTTCTTCTTCCAGTTTGCTAATGAGACCTATCAGCCCCTTGGTGTTTCCCTTTTCTGTGCTCTTGTTAAACATGTTCTACTGAGAGATGCTACAGCAATAACCTTTTATATTGACTGTTACTGGTATAATGAGTCCTGGGGGTCAGGTGTGCATGACACACTTGGAGTTTTACTATCAAAGTGAATACTGTATCCTGTCTTTGATAAGAACTGTAGATTTCTACACTGATTTTGAATTCATATCTAATTTACTTTTAATCCTCTTATACAGAAATTGGTTTTGAAGTGATTTTAAGAAAGCAACTTTTATATCAAGCTGTGCTGTTCTAGGCAGTGTGCCAGTTGGGCTGGCTTACTGCATCTGTAATCTCAATGCTTTATTAAGCCTAACTAACATTCAATATTTCCTTTTTGTTGCGGGTTGGGAGGGGCTTGAATCTATGGGCAAGGGAACACGACTTGTATTTTTTTTTTCTCTAGCACAGGCAGGTGAACTGTGAATAGATTTGGGGTGTTTTTTTTTCCTCCTCTGGATCACCTAAAAGTATAATTTCGGTTTTTATTGTAATCTGTAAACTGCTGTATTTGAATCACCTGCCGTTCTCCCAAAGCCCAGCTTCCAGGATGTTAAAAGTGACTCTTGATGTGCTAGGGGGGAAGGAGTTCTTTGGTTTCTCTTCTTCAGCTGCCTGAAACCAGAACAGGGTTAACTGGGGAGGGGGCTCCTTTCTTTCTGTGGAAGAAAGGTCTTGTGACTGAGGAGAAAAAACTGGGAGACAGAGTCTGTTCCTAACTAGCTGTGCAGCTTTGGGCCAGTCACTAAACCTTACTGTGCCTCAGTTTCCCCATCTGTAAAATGGGGGCAGTTTAGCCTGGATTTGTGAGGTTATTGTGAGACCTAGTTTATGTTTGGTAAAGCACTTTTAGGTCTCTGGCTGGAGGGTGCTGTGCAGAGGGAAGCACTGCACTGAAATTCCCAGTGGTGTACCAGCCCTGGGAGCAGTGTTTGGAATTCCTGCTCCAGAGAGCTGCAGCTCTGTCACCGTTGCCATCTGGTTGTGTTTGCAGCTTGGCAGGTGCATTATAGGGCTCCAGGGGTGGCTGTGTCAGAAACCAGCCCTGAAACCCATGGGTCACTGTCCCATGTAACCTCATCACGGTGCTGCACTGCCCTGCTCAGGTCACTGAAACTGTCCCACAGATTTCCCCCAACAAACAAACCTCAGTGTGTGGGTGTGAGGCCAGAGGGAGCTGTGGGAGCACTGGAGCTGTGTCAGCTGGGCTGAGCACAGCTCTGGGAAATTCTTGAGGCAAGAGGCCTTGTGCATTTGCCTTTTGATCTTGTAAGTCTATTTGAGTTAAAATGGATGTTCCCAAGCTGCCTGCGTTTATCTCTGGAATGGTCAACTTCCTTGGTGCCGCTGAGGGGGACACACAACTGTTGTGTGCAGATGCTGGAGAGGGGTGAGATGTTTCTGGCACTGCCACTTTGTGTGACACCTGCAAACTGTGTAATCCTGTGCCTCAGTTTCCCTGTCTGGGGAGTCTTTAACCTACCTCACTGCTAGCTGAGGCTTTGTCAGTGACTCTTGTGGCACGCCTGGGTGCAGGGTGCTGTGTGGGGTGTGTGGTGCTGAGAGGAGGCTCCTCTGGCCTTAGTACGTAACCGAGATGATGTCACACTCACCTTCTGCCTTCATCTGGTGTCTGCTATGCTGGGATGCCACACCGATGCTACTCTGCCAAATAACACCTGGTGGTGGCTGCGGCCGCTGCAGGTGTCCAAAATGCCTGTTCGTTCAGTGCAGGTGCGGTTTTAGGGCAGCACAGCCGCTGTTGGGCTATGGGGGTGCTCCGGGAGGGTGTGTGTGTGTGCCCCCCCGGGCCAGGCGCTACCCCTGGGGAAGGCCTTTCACATCATGGCTGGGCTGGGGGAAGCTCTGCTGGGTCGACAATTATTAGATTCTTTCCTCCCTTGTAAACTTCTAATTCCGCTTTTTTTTTTTTTTCTTTCCTCTCCATTTAAAATTCTTGCAGTTACGCCAATAAAATTTTTACCATTATAGTCACGCCTGTGTCGCGGTTGTTTTTCGCCCCTGAGCTTGTGAGGGAGCGGAGCCCGGGCGGGCCCTCAGGGCTGAGGCGGGGGGGGGGGGGGGCAGTGCGCTCCTCCGGCCGCCAGGGGGCGACGCGCGCCCGGCCGCGCGCTCTCCTGCGCTTTTCGCGCCTTCCGCTGGCGTCACGCGCTTCCCGCAGAGCGGCGGATGATTGACGCGGCGGGCAGCCAATGGGCTGAGGGAAGGCAGAGCCGCGGCGCTCTGCGATTGGTCGTGAGCTGTGGTATAAAAGGAGACAAGCCCGCCCTGCGGCCCTTCTTTCCCGGAGCCCTCGTGGAGGTGCGGGCGCGGCGCGGCGGCTCCGGGGCCCGGGCGGGGCTGGGGGGCAGTGCTGAGGGGAGCGGACCGGGACCAGGACTAGGACTAGGAGCGGTATCTGGGCCGCGGCAGGGCTATGGGGTTGAGAGCGCTGGGCCCCAGGGCGGAGAGAAAGGTGGGGACCCACCTGAGCCGCTCTTCTTCCTGGCAGGTCCCAGCTCGTCTTTAAACCCACCGGGCGATCCTTGGAGCACCGCCGAGATGCCCAGGGAAGACAGGGCTACGTGGAAGTCCAACTATTTTATGAAAATCATCGTGAGTGTCGGCTCGGAGCCCCCGTGGGGCGCTGCCGGAGGAGGCTCGAGGCAGCGGGAACCGGGCGGGCCGGGCTGTGGGGGCTTTTAAGAGAGATGGGTGAGTGCTATGGGGTGTCTGAACGAGTTTCTGGCATTAGGAAGAGATGTGAGATAGTCCAAATCAGGCCTGCTGAGAATTTGCCGTGGCGTTGCGGACTTGTTCAGGGATGGGAATCGATGGCGGAGTGAAGGATGCAGCTTATGGCATTTCCAGCCTCACTTGGAACTCATCTTTCTCAAACTTCTGACTTTTTTTACGTTTTAATGTGTTGCGGTTTTAATGTTGCTCTGTGCACTGCTCTGAATTTCTTTGTATAGTTACAGTATTTGTTTTGCTATAGCAACTCCTGGATGATTACCCAAAATGTTTCATTGTGGGAGCAGACAACGTGGGATCCAAGCAGATGCAGCAGATCCGGATGTCCTTGCGTGGAAAAGCTGTTGTGCTGATGGGGAAGAACACGATGATGCGCAAAGCTATTCGGGGTCATCTGGAGAATAATCCTGCTCTAGAAAAGTGGGTAATGCTGCCTGAGGGCACTTCTGGGTCCTCTGTCTCAGAGGAGGGGAGGTTGTCCAAGGAGTAAAGCTGAAGGCTGTCATATTTTTTTCAGGCTGCTGCCTCACATCCGTGGGAATGTGGGCTTTGTCTTCACTAAGGAGGATCTGACTGAGATCCGGGACATGCTGCTGGCTAATAAGGTAAGAGAGATCAGTCCTCACTGCGTGTTTATGCTGAGATGGAACACAAAATAAAACTGAGTCTTCATGGTGGACAGGAAGTTCTCAGGGGTTGGGAATTGGCCCTTGCAGTCTTAGCAAGTGCTTAAGTTCAGCTGCCTCACTTGTGTGTGCCTGGGTGCTGCCTCTCATGGAGGAGCATGTCACTGAGGAGGTGATCCCACCAGATCTGGGTGAGCATTCTTGCAGCTTCTCATCTCCCCCCTCTCAGGTGCCAGCTGCTGCCCGTGCCGGTGCCATCGCTCCTTGTGATGTGACTGTGCCAGCCCAGAACACAGGCCTCGGACCTGAGAAGACCTCCTTTTTCCAGGCCTTGGGCATCACCACAAAGATTTCCAGAGGAACCATTGAAATTCTGGTTAGTGAGCTGCAGTTCAAGCTGTTCTTTGACTGGGAGGCCTTGATTGTGGCAGCTGAGGGAGCTGTGAAGGCCAAAGCTCTCATTAGTGCCAAGATACTGTATGAGCACTGTGATAATTGCACTTTGGGATCTGGAGGAGGGTGTCTGGCTTGGTTTCAATGTGCAGCGTGGGGGGATTGAAGTTCTCAATCAGATTTCCACAGGTCTGTGGAAATCTGGCTCTGTCAGAGGAACGTGCAGGTGAGCTACCTGTAGGTAATGAAGGAAAGGTGCTGCCTTTCTCCTGGCTGACATGGACTTGTTTATGTGGTCTAGGGCTTTCTCTGAATGTGGAGTGTGTTGTGCTCATTTGCTCCTCCAGTTCCACGGTCTGCATTTGTGTCCCACTGCTTTGACATGCTGGAATTTCTTGGTATGTATTCACTCCTTTTCCCTGATGTCCTCAGAGTGATGTGCAGCTTATCAAGACTGGAGACAAAGTGGGTGCCAGCGAAGCCACCCTGCTCAACATGCTGAACATCTCCCCGTTCTCCTTCGGGTTGGTGATCCAGCAGGTCTTTGATAATGGCAGCATTTACAACCCTGAAGTGCTGGACATCACCGAGGAGACCTTGCACAAGCGCTTCCTGGAGGTGAGTGCCACAGCCCTGTCCCTTGTGTTCTGCCTTGCTGCTCTGGGAGCCACCACTGCCAGAACAAAGTGTCCTGTCTGGTATTTTCCATGAGGTCCTGCAGAGCCAGGAGCCCTCCCTGGTTCTCTAGAGAAACTGTGTGTCAGGGAGTACCTTCCTGTAGGATTCTTCATCTGAATCTGCTTCAGAAATCATTTGAGGCCAGTTAAAATCATGGAATATCCTGAATTGGAAGCGCCCTACAAGGATCATCAAGTCCAAGTCCTGGCCCTGCACAGGACACCCCAGCAATCCTACCCTGTGCCTGAGAGCATTGTCCAAATACTTCTCGAGCTCTGGCAGCCTTGGGGCTATGAGCATTCCATGGGGAGCCTGTTTTCTTATTATTCCACTTAAAACTCCCCTGACGCAGCTTTATGCTGTTCTCTTGGGTCCTGTCACTGGTTACCAGAGAGCAGAGATCAGTGACATTTAAGTATTGATGCATTGATTTCACTGGAGCTGTTACCTGTGTGCATTGCATGCTTTCCTTTCTGTTGGCAGTGTAAAACTGTCATCTGGCCATCCTCTGCTGTAATTTCTGTAATTTCTCAGACCACAGAAACACAAGTTTGTCTCTTTGCAGGGTGTTCGGAATGTTGCCAGCATCTGTCTGCAGATTGGGTACCCGACCATCGCGTCCGTGCCCCACTCCATCATCAATGGCTACAAACGTGTCCTGGCCGTGGCCGTGGAGACTGACTACACCTTCCCTCTGGCTGAAAAGGTAATGGCTGGCTCTGAGCTCTGCAGAGCAGGGTGTTAGAAGTGCACTGAGGCACATTCACAGCATGTCCCCTGGTTTGAGAGGACTGGGATGTCGCTCTTGTGCTGATTGAGGCAGGATTGTAGAAAAGGCAAAGAAGGGTTTATTCAAAAGAACTGTGCGGTTTTTATAGAGTGGTATGATAGGTTCTATTCTGTTGGCTTACTAACAAAAACATCTTTCTCAGACACTGTCCTTAAGAGGAACAGAAAAATAAAGTAGAAAAACTGCAAATTGTTTATACTCAACAAGTTACCACATCTTTCCAAATCCCTAAAACTTCTCACAAGCCGCTGTGAGAAACGCTTGCCATTTCTCTCTCTCTGTCCCATGGCATCCACACTGGGACACACCTGTGTGAGATGTGTCTGGAGAAGGGGCACTTGCTTCTTCCATATCTTGTGTACAAATGGCAGGAGAAAGCTGATTTACCTGAGGGCTGAAAGCTTAGCTGAAATGCCTTTGGCTCTTCATATCTGCTACTGATAAATGGACCTGTTTGGATTCTGGCAAGCTGCAAGTGCTGCCTTTATCATTGCAAAGGTTCAGTCTTGCAAAATGTTTTGTTCCTTGTGAGTTTACATTTCTTTCTCCCACTTTTACAGGTGAAGGCCTTCCTGGCAGACCCCTCAGCTTTTGTGGCAGCTATGCCTGTGGTGGCTGAAACAGCTGCACCTGCTGCTGCTGCCGCTGCTGCTGCTCCAGCGAAGGAGGCAGCGAAGGAGGAGTCGGAGGAGTCTGACGAGGACATGGGATTTGGTCTCTTTGACTAACAGCAGCCACCCTCTCTGCCTGTGTCAGAGTTGGCCCGATGGAAAAATAAAAAGCTCTTTTACACCTTCATGTGTGCCTGCATCGATGGTGTAGTCTCCATATCAGCTGGGGTTTGGGAAAGGTGTAACCCGAGGGGCTTTGCGCTCCAGGGCGATGGTTGTTCTCGGGCCGGGGCACGGCAAGGAGCGGTTGTGCCCCGGCCCGGGTGCTGCAGGGGAGGAGTTGTTCTCGGGGCCGCAGTGCGGATCTCCCCGGCCGGGCCGAGCGCAGGCCGTGCCCGCCGCACGTTCGGGCGGTGCAGCCGGCGCCCGGCCCGTTCCGTTCCGTTTCCTCCCGGGCCGGGCGGGCAGCGGGCAGCGCCCATCGCCGTGGCGCCGGGCCCGCCCCGGAAGCCGCTACCGGTTCCGGGGTCGAGCGGAGCGATGGCGGCCGACACGCAGGTGAGTGCGGGACGGGCCGCGCACGGTCCGGCCCGGGCAGGGGAGACCGGAGGGGCAGCACCCGGGGCCGCGCCCCGTCCCGCTCTGGCCCCGCCGCGCCCTCGGCCCGGCTGCGAGGCCCAGCCCGGCGCCCGAAGCCGCCCGGGGACGTGGCAGCCGGGGCGGGCCCCGCCGAGCCGCCCGCACCGCGCCGTGCCCGGCCCGCGGGAAGGGGCCGCCGCCGGGGAATCCGGGCGGAGCGAGGGGCGAACGGGCCCGGCCCGTCCGGACGGAGGCCCGGCACGAGTCGCGTCCCGCCCGGCTGCGGCGCCGTGTGCGGCTGTTCCGGTTCGCACCGCCCGGCCGCGGTGTGACCGCTCCCCGTGCTCCTGATGTGGGACCGCCGGCTTCATCCTGAGGGGCTTGGGGTGTTCCCAAAGCAAATCCCAGTCTGCTCAGCATCAGGTCCTTACTTGTACAGCTACTGCTTTTGTCCTCTGTATTTGTTTGCAGAAGCATTGCCGGTATGCTGGCTGTCTAATGTGTACATAAACATCCTAAAAAATAAAAATAGTAAGCAAACTGTTGAAGCCTGTCCCAGTGGCTTTTCCATGGAGACTTGGTGGGTAGTCGAGGTTTTGCAGTTTGTGTAAGTCACTGGAATGGTGGTGAGATCCTGTAGTGTTATACATAATTTATATTTTTCATTTCTAGACTTAGGATAATTTTAACACGTTTTTCATGTCTGCACATTCCCCTGCTCGTCATTAAGCAGCATGAGTAAGTGCAGCTTGGTTTGAGTTTGCGTATGATGAACTCATATAGTTGAAATCTTTGAGAGGAGAGCAGGTCCTTAACAGCAGCTGGTTGGTTTGGTTCTTGTGTCAGTGACGTTGTTGGTCATGCTTTGCAGCTCAGCCCAGCCTTGCTGTTCAGAGGTGCAGCACTGCTTCCCAGCCAGCTTTTAAGGGGACTTGTGGGTGTGAAATGGTGCCAGTCTCAGGGAGACTCAGGATGGACTTGAAAGGTCAGGAAGCCACAGTGCAGGATCAGCCTTCCAGAGTGTAGGCAAAAAGCTTCACTGAAAGCAGCTTTGAGGAGCTCTTTGAAAAAGACTGAAAAGAGAAGGAACAGTTTTCTATGAGTTTCTGAAGACATGCTCTGCCTTTTGGAAAGATGATTCAAAGTTGCTCAGTTTAAGAGCTGGATTTCAAAAGCCTTTCCTAGAGAGCTGTGCTTTGCTTTATGTAAATGCAGAAAGCCTGGGTGTGTAGGTCTCCCTGGGTTGTCTGCAATTTGAGTGCCCCTTCAAGACTTCCTGGACTTCAGGAGATAACATACAGGGAGAAGCTCCTTTGAATTCTTGAAGTTACTGTTTTTTGCTTTGAAAGGTCCTGTACTCCAGATTATGGGTCCTAGCTCTTACTCTGTGTTACTTTTAGAGGGGTAAGTGTCTCTTATAGAGCATGAGAGCACAGATAATTGCAGAGCAGTCATCCCTCAACCCTGGGGAAGGAGTTTCACAGAGTGTGAAGCACAGTGACCCTTCCTTGATGGATGAGATGGTGGATGCTCACATTTGGGCACCAAGGGGTCATGTGGCAGCAAGTGACATGTTCTGCTTGCCCTGGTTTATGTTCTGTGGGTTGGTATTAAAGGCAGTCTGGTGGTTTTTGTGCTTTGTGGTTTTAGATTTCTGACACATTGAAGCGGTTTGCAGTGAAAGTAACTACAGCCAGCGTGAAGGAGCGGAGAGAGATCCTCAGTGAGCTGGGAAAATGCATTTCTGGGAAAGGTAAAAGCTTGGGAGCACTGTTCTGCTCACCTGGGTGGAGGAGAATGTTCAAATGTTTTGTTTCAAAAGGCTGTGTGAGGGGTATTTGGTATTTGGCAGCGTTTTGAGCCAGTCCTCAATCACAGGGTTAATTCCAGGTGTGGGTTTGTGGGTAGCACAGAACCCCAGCTTTTGGCACAACTTTTTCCAGTCAGTAGTTGTAGCATTATGTATGTTAGTTCTTCATATAGTGTATCAGTTGAGTTTCTTTCATGACTCTTGGCTTATTCTTTTAGTACATATGGAACATTTGGATACACACATGTATAGAGATGGGGAGTGTGGAAGATTACTGATGGTCTTAATAAAACAGCTGAAGCAAATTTTTTAAACTTATTTCTGTCATTTTCTGAAGATGACTGTGTTTCACATGTTCCAGTTATACCATTATTTGTAAAAATACACATAAAATGTATAGAAAGAGCAAACTTCTACTGTAATTCTTGCAAGCAATTTAATAGATGCAAGCATTTTACTGATTTCAGTCATAAAGTGAATGACTGAAACATTAGTGTTTGCGTTAAAGATCAAGAGCACAGTGATTTATGAAGTATTTTGAAATACATTGTTACAGATCTCCCAGAAGGTGCAGTGAAAGGCCTTTGCAAACTCTTCTGCCTTACTCTGCATCGATACCGGTGAGTAAATGTGGTGGTGTTCACAGGAGAATCAGGATGGGGGAAGAGATGAGGATCTGACTCCATGTTCCAGAGGGCTGATTTATTATTTTATGATATTATATTAAAAGTAAATTATGTATTAAAACTATACTAAAAGAATAGAGAAAGGATTCATCAGAAGGCTAGCAAGGAAAGGAAAGAATGGAATGATAACAAAAGCTCTGACTTTCAGAGTCCAAGCCAGCTGACTGTGATTGGCCATTAATTAGAAACAACCAACATGGACCAATCAAAGATGCACCTGTTGCATTCCACAGCAGCAGATAATTATTGGTTTTCTTTTCCTCTGAGGCTTCTCAGCTACTCAGGAGAAAAAATTCTAGCAAAAGGATTTTTCATAAAATATCATGGCTACAAGTAAATTGATGTGGAAAGGCTGTATTATGTAATCTATCAGTATTTAGTAATTCAATTGGTCTGGAGCATCTGGAAGTGTTAGCATGCAGGGTCACAGAAATGTATGTGACATCAAAAAATGTCATCTTGCAATTACATTCTCAGGGAAGGATTGATATTAAAAAGTTCTACAATATTTGCCTTGTGTTTCATCTTTAATTTTTAAATTAAAACTTTAATCCTGTGGTTCAGTTTGCAAGAATGAACACCCATGTCCTTGTGAAGCAAGACTGACCTGTCTTTTAGATGCTTTGTAGAAAATTTTAGGTGGGATTAAATCATCGTCTGTTGTAGAGGAGCTGTTCAGAACCCATTTTCTTCCACAATCTGCTGGAGGGCCTCTACATAACTGCTGTCACTTGAGAAAGGGAATGGAGGTTTCTGATAAAAACTTCTGCACTGTGCAGAAGAGCAAGGATAAAATAGTTATTAGCTGACTGCTGAAGTGAGAACGCAGAGCAGGGGTAGTGGTGCGGTGCAGGGGTGGTGAGGGTGCGGTGTGGCAGGCTGGGGACGTTCCTGATCCGTGTTTGTCACAGGGATGCGGCGTCCCGCAGGGCCCTGCAGCTGGCCCTGCAGCAGCTCGCAGAGTCCCAGCCTGAGGCCACGGCCAGGAACCTGCTGCACTCGCTGCAGTCCTCAGGGATCGGCGGCAGGGCTGCAGTGCCCAGGTGAGTCCCTCGTGTGGAAGCAGTTCTGAGTTGCTGGCAGTTCCTCCTGTTCAGAATGAGGCTTCTGCTGCTGCTTGGCAGAGGTGTTGAAAGCCTTTAGAGGGAAAGCTCTTAATGCTGTTCAGATGTTCCTCTCTTACCTCTTCCATGTCATCTGGGAAAGCAGAGGGAATATCCCAGTATAACTGCTGGTGGGTTTGGGCTGAGTTATGGTTTAGCCTTTGTTAAACTTCAGGTCTGGGGAGATGAGGAGCAAACTCTTCCTAGAAACAGTCTCCAAAATCACTAGGAAAGGGAATTTCATCACCTGTCAAATGTTCAGCTGCCTCATGTGCCATTTGGAAGCTTTGAGTGTCAAGCCAGAGCTGAAACAACCAACTTCTGAGGGCTGATTATTTTCTGTAAAAACTGAGGCTTTAGCTGCATTTTTGTGTGATAAAATTGCTTGCCAGTCAGGTGCTGTTCTAATTTGGGCAAAATAGGTCTGTAATGGTCTAGTAGGTCTAAGTTATGTCCTGGGAAGTGTAGATTTACCTCCCTCTCCTGTTTGTACAACAGTAAGAGCAGTGGATCTGCAGCTCTGCTGGCACTCTCCTGGACATGCCTGCTTGTACGCACAGTCTTTCCAACACCTGACAAGAGACAGGGAGAAACATGGAAAAAACTGGTAGGTTCTTTAAGGTTTGTAGAAATATCCCATCACAGATATGGATCTAAATATTTTTAATGCGTTTAAGTTGCTGCAATGTTGCAAACAATTCTGAATTTAACTGAAAACACCAAATTTGAATCCAGGTTTAGAGAGAGATTTGGTGTATTGTGACCTCTCTCCTGTTCCCCTGGGAAAACTGAAGGTGTATAAAACATGAGTGGGGCAGTCTTGCATCTGTGCAGTTGCTCTGCATACAGACATGGCTACTGGTGCCTCTGAGGGGCATCTGCAGTGTGACATGAAGTCCTTGTGCCTCCCTTGAAATATCTCTGTATGATACTGTCATACAGCTTTTGCTTTCCTTTCACTTCCTTTACACAAACATGTGACTCTGCTCATAGCACACTGGGATATAGC